ATTTCTTCCTAGCCTAACTAACGGATCTCTAGTCTCTACAAATAGCACCGCAGCCATACTTGTGTGTTCATCTACTCAAATGTAGTCTTTTCTTTAAACTATGCAATTGGGGCGCCTGGGTGGCTCAGTTGGTTAAGCGACTGCCTTCGGCTCAGGTCATGATCCTGGGGTCCTGGGATCGAGTCCCACATTGGGCTCCCAGCTCAGCAGCGAACCTGCTTCTCCCTCTGACCCTCTCCCCTCTCATGCTGTTTCTCTCTCTCAAATAAATAAATAAATAAAATCTTTAAAAAAAATAATAAAATAAAACCATGCAATTGGGGCGCCTGGGTGGCTCAGTCGTTAAGCGTCTGCCTTCGGCTCAGGTCATGATCCCAGGGTCCTGGGATCGAGCCCCGCATCGGGCTCCCTGCTCCATGGGAAGCCTGCTTCTCCCTCTCCCACTCCTCCTGCTTGTGTTCCCTCTCTCGCTGTGTCTCTCTCTGTCAAATAAATAAAATCTTTAAAAAATAAATAAAACTATGCAATTAACAGGACACCCCTGATTTAGCAATATCTCTTCAAGTTTAAAATGCATATACCCAGGGTGCCTGGGTGGCTCAGTTGGTTGAGCGGCTGCCTTCAGCTCAGGTCATGATCCCAGGGTCCTGGGATCGAGCCCCACATCGGGTTCCCTGCTCAGCGGGAAGCCTGCTTCTCCCTCTCCCTCTGCCTGCCTCTATGCCTCCTTGTGCTCTCTATCTCTCTGTCAAATAAATAAAATCTTTAAAAATAAATAAATAAAGTAAAATGCATATACCCTTGGACCCAGCAAGTCCCACATCTAGGAATTTCTTCTACAACCCCTAAAAAGAATGATATGGCTCTATAGAAACTGATATCAATCTCCAAGATACATTAACTAAAAACACACACTCACCCTTGTTTGTGTGTACATGCCCACAAAATATATAAACACAATTATGAAATAGATAACAATATGAGGTATCTAGTCAATTTCATAGAAACAGAGAGGGTAGTTGCCAGGTGGGGGAGGGGGAATAGGGAGTTAGGGTTTAATGGGAGATGGTTTCAGTTTTGCAAGATGAGAAGGATTCTGGAGACACATAATGGGGACGGTTGCACAAGAATGTACTTAATGTCACAGAAGTGTACATTTAAAAATGGCTAAAATGCTAAATTTTATGTTATGTATATTTTACCACATTTAAAAATTACACCCAGGCGCGTGCACACGCACACACACACAGATTAATAAGAAACTGATAACGATGGCTGCCTCCAGGGAGAAAAATGGATATTTGGGGACAGGGTGGCAAGGAGCTCTTTAACCATATAACCTCTTATACAACCTTTTTCATTCTGTACTATATACCCATTTTTAAAAATTCGTTAAAAAAAACCCAGCCTTATACAAAAAGCTTTTTCCTTAATCATAAGTCATTTATATCCTTTCTCTAAATAAAAAATATTTTTTCAATCCAAATCAGGATTCCACTTCAGTTTTAAGGTTATTTATTAGATTTAAATGATGCAAGTTGCAAAAAATTACTTTTTCCCTAAGAATATATTCACCAAAAGCCTGCCTTTATTTTTATGAGCTATTATAGAAATGCTTCAAAATCATCACAGAAGAAAATTACCATTTTTATCAGTACACAACTTTTATTCCATCACAACCGAGCTAGCTGAATATAGAACTGTTTCAACAGCAAAAAGCCCTCATCATAATTCAAGACAAAAATCAACCCGCAATTACATGAGTTAGGAAACAAACGATGCTTATGTTGCAGTCTACCCTAAGCTCTCACTTCTGTGTCAGAATCTAAAACACACACACACACACGCACATGCACACACGCCCTCTGGATTCCTCCTAGTTTATCCAAAACCTACTTTGTGAAGATCCACTATTTTCTTGAGTCTTCTGGAATGAGCACTGTAGCTGTGGCCACTGTTACTGCAACTTCTGTGGCCCTGCCCCAAGTCAAGGAGAAAGCAGCACTTGCAGGGCACCACACTGCCCCCTGCCTTGAATCAGGGGCTCAAGTACTTGTTGGGTGAATGAATAAATGATTATGTGCTGACCAGCTTGCCATCAAGTCTCACAAAGAAAAACTTCCGAAAAAAAAAAAAAGAGATGCTTTGCTTACTTGAAGTCAACATATGATAAAAGGTGAAGACCAGATGACTGAATCACCGAATGGCTATGACACGACTGGCTAAGTGGGCTCTAGAACGCATCCCTACCCAAAGTTCAATACAAAAACAAGCATTTTTATAACCATAGGAAAAACATAGGACAACTTACCTATAAGATTCTTTTGTATATATCAATATAGTACATCAAGTTTTTTTAAGAAGAAAAATATATAGATGAATACTGACATGTTCTTAAGGTAGGAAAAGACTTTCTAAGTATAAAAGCAAAACAAAAAAATCCTAACAGAAATTTTATATATCAGGGGTGCCTGGGTGGCTCAGTTGGTTAAGCATCTGCCTTCAGCTCAGGTCATGATCCCAGGGTCCTGGGATCGAGTCCCGCATCAGGCTCCCTTCTAAGTGGGGAGTCTGCTTCTCCCTCTGCCCCTCCCCCTGCTCGTACTCTCTGTTTCTCTCTCTCTCTCTCTCTCGCAAAAATAAATAAATAAAATCTCCAAAAAAAAAAAGAAAGAAATTTTATACATCAAAAAAGACAAGCAGAATCAAAAGATGTACGACAAGGTAGGAAAAATATTTGCATGATGACAAAGAGTATCCTTAATACAAGTTCTTACAAATCAATTTAAAAACAAATATCCTGATGGAAGAATGAATGCAGAACACCAACAGGCAAGCAATTCACAAAGACCAAATGCAACTGGCTGATGATTACTGAGGTTCAGCCTCAGTAATAACCCAAGGAGCACAAATTTAAAAGATGGGCATCCAATTCTGCGAGGGTCTGGGAAGTGGCACTTTCTCAGACTGTCATGGGAACTAAGACAGCCATTTTGGAACGTGATGTGGTGGTACCCACCAGCAATTCCAAGTCTAGGCAGCTGTTCTTCAAAAAGACTGGCACATGAGGAAGTTCAATCCAGTACCATCTCTAATAGAGAACCACTGGGAAAGCCAATAGGGGGACAATGCATGACTAAGTTTAAGTCAGCACCAGATCACACTGCCATTTAACAGAAATGAGGCAGAGAGAAACATTATCACGAGGACAGATGTAGAATATGTATAATATCATCTTCATTTTGTTAAAAACACAAAATGTGCATATTTGTATAGCCTGAGAAGATTCAGAAGGATCTACATTAATAGTGGTTACTCTAGGTAGTGAGCATGGAGAGTAATGGGGAGCTTTCATCTTTTTACGTGGTATACTTTAAAATGGTTTGTTTTCTATAAAAACATGCATTATTTTTATAATTTCTAAAAAAGGAAAAGAAGAAAAATAATAAAATATCAAACACTTATCTAGTAAAGACAGGTTCTGTCCTTGGAGAATTCCCTTCAAAGTTTCTTGAAGCTCAAATGGCTGTCTTTTCCACTCATAAGTAGTAAGACATTTTTTTTAAATATCTCTTCCTTTCTACATTTCTTAGAAGAAACTATATAGAGTGACCACTGCCTGTTTTATAAAATCCATTCATAATCTGAGAAAAAGACTATTAAAAACATAAACCACCCCCAGGCCTAACATCTACCAGAAGAAACCCATTCACTGCCCATATTACATTTAGTCCACACAGTTTCTGAGACAATGCACAAAGCACCAGCCACACAACTCCCACCAGCATAAATACGTGGTGTACAAAGAACGTCCTGTCAGCAGGGCCCAGAGTACACCCCACAGCAATAAAGGAGAAATGACAATTTGAGTCACAGGATCAGGACTGGAACCAAATTTGGGACTTGGAGGCAGTGCAATGCTCTTCACTTCCTTCCACACCTTCTATTCTCCTTTACCCAAACCCTGCCCCTTCCAAAGTCCCCTACTAGGCTATGTTATGGATGTCCACAAAGCTTTAGACTGAGGTGTCAGAAACCAGCAGAGAGACACAACAAAGTGCTACCTGGGGGTCTCAGCTGCAATCGCAATGGCAGCGTATGTATAAACTCACATTTTTTCTTAGGAAAAGGAATGGAAAAATTCAATTAGTATGTTCTGCCTTACCACATGTAATGTTTGAAATCCAGGTGTCAAAACATCAAATGTGGAGTGACCACTGATTTTAAAAAAGCTTGAGATATTGAGCCTGACAGTTGGGAAATTAAGGAACCACTCATTTTTACAAAATTAAAGTCCACACAATGGCACCAAAGTAGCCAAAAGTGTGGCTTATAGAGCACCTGAGTGTCAGACCTCATATGGCTTGGATCCTCAGCTTTTCAAAAGGCACTGATTCTGCTCTAGAGTCTCAAGAGCCAGACCTGTGTCTGGGTGCTCTCTTTAGTTCCGGGGAAGGAGAGTAGCAAGCACAGCCATTAGCCATGGGCTCTGCTGTTCTGAGACAGCTTTCAGGAAGCCATCCTTCTAGGGGACCACACACCAGTTCCCATATCTGAAAATGTTTTACCACTGCTCACTAACATTGACCAGGAAGCCATTTACCCAAAACCAAAGCAAACAAAGCACCATGCTGAAGACCGCTAGGCAACAGCAGCAGTGGCAGGTGAAGAGCTCAGTCAAAGCGCTCTCTCAGCTCAGCTGACCTGCTTCAAGGTGAACTGAAGTTGCAGATCACCAGTTCCGGCTCTAATCTGACTCCCGCCCCCAGATCACGCTGTGGCTACCAAGTAACCCTACCCAAACTGACCTTTCAGGGCTCAGGGAAGTGACTTTTTTTTATTATATGGCACAGTTTGGCACAGTTATATCTTTAGTCTTTGGGGTACTTTTATACTGTCCAAGAGTAGTACATCTTGTTTTTTTTTCCTTTTTTTTTTTTTTAAAAACAGATGGCCAAACCAGGACATATACTAAAAAAAAAAAAAGGAAGGTTACTTACCTGAGCCCTAACATTCCAGCTACCATGGAATCCTGTTGGAGCTGGTCTACAGAAGCAAGATGTATTCTGGGGAGTCACATGTCACATCAAAGCAGGAACTGGTGAGTCTGTATTTTTATGGAGCCTAAAACAAAGAAAATCGTAAGTTGAAAGCCCCCATTGTGCTGCACGACCTTTTTCCCAGGGCTATTTGGGACATTTTGAAGATAAACATATAGACAAAGTACTATGCTATTTCCCAGCTTACCTACTAGAAACAAGGATAAACCGCAAATTACTAGCACGTAACACACAGTACTAAAATAAAGATTCATGTGTGTTAGAATCGACACTATCACAAGTCTTGTCACCTCTGAGGGACACTTTGGCACTATAAAGCATACTGTTAGTGGTGATCCCTGGTAAGTATTTCTCTCACTATGTCATACAGAAATACTCAGGGAGAGAAAACATGTTCAAGAGAACATGCAGCATCAAAATGTCATCCCAGAAAGAACACGTGAAATCCAGAGGCAAAGTCGGCCTTCTTTTTCAAGCAGCTGAATTTGAAATGAGCTGTTGTTAACATCACTTAAAGGAGCTTTAACCCTGAGAGAGAGGGGGAAAAAAAAGCAGCACCAACAGAAACCAAAAGCCCTGGGAGATCTAAAGCCCTCCTCCAATATATGCAAGTCTGTTTCAGAGCAATCACTTTTAAGCCTCTCAGATCAGTTAAATCACAATGTTCAACAAACTAAGTTATTAGTTTGATAGTTTCTCTTCTGCTTTTGAATACATTCAAAAGAAGACTTTTGTCATTACATTTTTCATCAAGATAACATCATTTCCTTGTTAAAACCTACACTGCCCCATATTAGCTAATCTCTGGTTAGCCTGCTGGCCCAAGAGCAGCACTTTCACCTTTAGACTAAAAAAGCCTAGAGTATACAACTTAGAGACTATTCACACAAACAATTACTCATGTAATTAAACCCAGAGGAAGGGCAACACCAACCAAGTCTTTTACAGCTGGTCTATAACTACCAGGATGGTACCTAGAATTATCTATTGAGGTACAGTAAGGCCTTACAATTCCCTGAAACAGTCAAGTCGTAGAATGCTTTGAAATCCAGAAGTCAAGGTAACAGTACTACTGTTAGCTATATAATAAAAATCAAACCGGTATCCTGGCTGGGAGGCCCTGGCAAAGCTACAACTTCTCACAGCCACGGTTTGTTTTTTACTTGTAAACTGAGGGAGCTGGACTAAGGGTTCCTTCCAGCTCTGAAATTTTACGATCTTTGATTAACTCAAGATTTCACGGAAAAAAGAGCAAGCAAATGAAAGCAGTTAAGTGAAAACCCAATAAAACAGTAATTTGCAGCTCCATATATATGATGCCCCCAGCTCCTAGGCAAGGAAGACAAGTGAACCCTTCCTAAGGCTTGCTCCAGAGAGTTCAGACATCTGCAGGAACTGCTAAACAGCCATGGTGAGGACACCTTCATATGCCAGCAGACCCAACATAAGTATGCCCTGAAGAAGTTCTAAAGGTCAAGGCTTTATTCTTCAGTAGAATGGCCACACACACCCCCTCTGATTTGGGAATGGGGATGCCCTGCCTGCCACCAAATTCCCACTCCCACTCAGTTCCCCGCAACACCATACCTACCATCAAAAATGGCAGAACCAAGTATTTAAGTAATGGCATGCAAATCAAGATTTCAGTAGGAAAAGGTTCCTTGCAAGAGAAAGGCAGAAGAGAACAGAGAAAGGCAGAAGAGCATAACTTTGTGTAACTGAAGCCCAAGGAAGAAGAACCCATTCACATCTGTCCTACTGGAAACAAGGTAAAAGCACAGTAGTCACAGTGGTGACAACAGCAATCTGACTGGAGAAGGCTGGTACAGAAGAATTGAGGACAAGGTCCTTCCGTTGAAGCAGAAATAATGCTCTACCCAAGAAAAAAGATCGTGTCTGCCAGCCACATGAGGCTGGTCTGCATGCATGTCACCACAGCAGAGGGTGGTGAAAACAAGCAAGTGTCCTGCTGCACTCCCTGGAACCCGCCACCAGTCTAGGACTGTGTTTCCCCCACCCCTCCACCCCCATGCACTTAAAAAACTACAGTTGATCCTTGAACAACACAGGTTTGAACTGTTCGGGTCCACTTATATGCAGATTTTTTTCAGTATAGTACTGTAAATATATTTTCTCTTCCTTATGATTTTCTTAATAACATCTTTACTGTGTTTAAGAATACCGTATACACTACACATAACATACAAAATATGCATTAATCGACTGTTTAAGTTAATAATAAGGCTTCTGGTCAACAGTAGGCTATTAGTAGTTAAATTTTGGGGGGGAGTCAAAAGTTATACATGGATTTTCAATTGCACGGGGGTGAGAGGTCGCGGCCCCCAATCCCTGCATCGTTCAAAGGTCAACTATAGTTACTACAAATGTCAAACATTTTCTGGGATTCTCTCCTCCTCATAGATAACTCAGGCAGCCTGGCGACAAACTGCCCTTAGCCAATTAAAAGATTTCCACTAATATCACCTCTATAAACGATCAGGACACATCATTTATCATGCAAACAGTCCCAGGCAGGTACATTAGTGGTGGAAACTGGACTGGAGTAAGGAACTAACAATTTTGCTTCTGCTCTTCTCTATTTCAGGTTAAAGAAACAAGCTTCTCATTCAATGCCCACATAGGGGACGGAGTATTCGGGTGGGGGCAACATCATATTGGACTTATCTAGCCAAACTCCACAGTTTCTTTTTGTCAAACTCCAGTTTGCCTCTCCACCCACTCTAGCTTTGGCCACACAGAGGCAGGGTAAACGGGAAACAATGACTCTGGTTAGAAATTGCAAATAGAATGCAAAATTGTATTCTAACCCTCCCAATACATAAACAGCAAAAAAGTCGAGGAGTGTTTCACTGCATCATGCTCTGTCAGGTGAAATAAAGACCTGGTACTGTAGGTTTAGAGCATTCCAGGCACATTTGTAACAAGAAACAGGAATAGTGTGATAGCCCGTAATAGCAAGAAAGCCATAGGTTTCTTCAAGCTGTTAGAACGTACTGACTTCAGATGCCACCGGGCACTTTTCAGAGAAAACTGTATTCTGGAAGCTGCCTGTGCTGTTTAAAAGGCTAGAGGTGGGGCGCCTGGGTGGCTCAGTCGTTAAGCATCTGCCTTCGGCTCAGGTCATGATCCCAGGGTCCTGGGATCGAGCCGGGCATCAGGCTCCCTGCTCGGCGGGAAGCCTGCTTCTCCCTCTCCCACGCCCCCTGCTTGTGTTCCCTCTCGGGCTGTGTCTCTCTCTGTCAAATAAATAAATAAAATCTTTAAAAATATATAAAATAAAAGGCTAGAGGTATGATGAACAGCTAACTGGAGGGGCACCCGGGGAGGCAAATGCATTGCCAATGATGCAAAACAAAGCAGAGTCCTCATCCTGTCATAAGCTGAGATGCACAAACCTTGGAATCTTTGTCAAGTGAGGCTTGTGCGTCTGTGTGTGTGGATAGGAATGTACCTCAGTCATCTGCCACCAAGCTGACATGCCACATATGGGTATCTGTGGCAACTTATTTAACCAACTGTACTCTACTAGATTGACTGTCCCTTAAGGTTCTCCTGTGTCCGGGTAAGAAAATAAAAGCAAGTTTTTCCCGGGCTTCCTCACTGGGATTTGAAATAGAAGTCATAAAAAGCCCATAAATAAGCCTATTCCCTAAGTCCCTGGTGGAAATTCCTAAAAGACCCAAGAAACCTAGACACCGTTTTATTTTTTTTTTTAAATAAGGATCCAGCATATTTCAAAAGACCCAAGAGGTCAGCTTAATCTTGTTAACTGAAATCGCTGAAATCCAGATGAAAATTCTGGCCATGAAACACGAATTTCTTTTCAAGTAATAATTGCCTATTAACAACACTGAATTTTACTACCACGGCACAAATAAGCTCCATTTTTCTGGTAAAACAAAACACCTAAAACTTGTCAGAGTCTTGCAAAGTCTAAGCCACTTGGCATCACGCGCTGCTAGATTTGCTTCCACCATCACCAACCACCCCCCTGAATTCGATCCTACCGTCTCACAATTTGGGGTACTAATCCCACACAACAGAGACACAACGTGTGAATGGCTCTGCAGAGTCCATTCCTGTTCCTGGAAAAAGAACCAGAAGCACACATCTGCCTGACCATGAGTCAGGAATATCACTTTTGTGGTGGAGCCCATTTCTGCTGTGACCAATCCACAACGAACACACTCACAACACAGGCGACCACCACAGAGGTAGGTATTCCAGAGCAAGCCTTCCCAACCTCGGGTCCACTTAAGCAAGGTCATTAACGGTCTCTTCTGTGAAAGCAATTTTTTTAGACTCTTTACGATGACATTAAGTCTTCAGGGCAAAACCACAGAAACATTGCCACACCACGTAAAAGTCACCTGAGTTTCAGTTTGGGTAATTCAGTTATAACCAAACTAAAAAGAAAATAAACTTTCAGGGGCAATTGACAGGAACCACAGCGATGCGATGAACTTGGCCCATCTGGTGATGATGATCTTGAGCAGGGCGCGCTCCAGAACTATAGGAGCCGGTTACATACTATGTCCCACTCCACTTATGTAACTAGAAGATCTCCGGCGAAGGGGGGCGGGGAGGATGGGAGGGCGCTCACATTCTGAGGCCACGGAACCCCCCAAAGACCCTGGGGGCGCACTCCCACCGAAGAGCCTCTGGTGCTCCCGGACACACAGTCCCCTACCTAAGGTTCATGATGGGAACTATAACCGCCTCTTTATGAGTTGTGGGACCAGGAACACAATGTCTAGTCCCTTTTGTGGGTGGACAATAATTCCCACCTACTTGTTCCTGCTAGAGGGGAAAGGAGATGGTGGACCGACTCGCTCGCAGTGGGGGCAGAAAGTCATGGAATGGGCGAGAAGGAGGGGGAGGCAAAGCCTGGAGATGGGGGTGAGAGCACAGGAGCCCTTGTGGCGCACTCTCACGACGGGAGGCGGACTGCGCACGCGCGCCAGTGGGGGGGCCGAGTAACGGCAGAGGGGGCGCGCGAGGGAGGGAGAGGGGAGAGCGCGATCCAGGGAGAGGCCGGGGCGGCGGGCGCGCGACGACGCCGCGGGCCCGAAGCCCCGAGAAGGGCACGACGCGCGCGCAGCCCCGACAGGCAAAACCCCGGCGACAGGGGCGCCCGCGGGGCCGGGGGCCGGGATGCGCGCCGGAGGCGGGAGGGAGGGGGGCGTCAGGCGAAGTCGGCCCTGGGAGACCGCGCCGAGGACGGTCACCGCGAGTGCGGGTGACGGGCCGAGGGGGGAGCCGTCACCGGCGGCGGCGGGAGGGGGAGGGTAGAGAGGAGGGACGCCATCCGCCAGCCGTGTCGCCCGACCCCGCGGGCCCCTCCCGCGCCACGTCCCGCCCCTACCCTCCGCCCCCCGGCAAGGGTCCCCGCCCGCGGCCGCGGCGGTCCCACTCACAGTCTCTCCTCCTCGCCTCCTCCTCCTCCTCCGCTCGGCGCGGCAGCGGCGGCGGCGGCCATTTTCCGGACGGCTTTTACCACAGCCCTCTCTCTGAGAGGAGGGAGCGCGCGCGCCGCCGACGCCGGGACCCCGCACGGCCGACGTCGCGCCCCGCCCTCCCGGCCGGCTTGCGCGCTGCTGCACCTGCGCGCCCGCGCCCCGCCCCCGGCACCGCCGCGAGCCCTCCTGCCATTGGGTGCGACGACCAGGGTGGGGCGGGGTCTCGGTGACGATGCTACCAATTGGCTGGAGTTTGTGTCCATTCCGGCTAGGGAAAAGGGGGTGGAAACTCTGTCCAGCTCCCGATTGGTTGCCATCGACCGTCATTTGGGGAAAAGAGGCGGCTGGGGCGCGGAGGGGCTGGTTTAGTGGGAGGAATTTGAATATTAAGGATTAATGGGCCCTTGCGGATGCTGGGGCAAGTGAAGGCCTAGGCTCCGCACGCCTTTTTTGCGTGGCCTTCCTGGGCCATTGACCCGCTGTACACAAACGCACAAACTACGCTGCTATAAGAGTTTCACCGCACCTGTATTTTCTCAGTATCACCACCTTCGCTAGAAGCAGCAAAGTTGCCTAACCTGGAGCCTGACGTTGTTCCAGACAACGGACCTTCGTTTCAGGGGCCTACCCATTGCATTCTTTCATCTGAGCCTGCCGTGTACCGTATGCTACACTCTCATGGGGTCAGGGAATAAATAACAAATCACAGCCCTGGCCTTCCTGAAACTCTGGCGGGAGAAGACGGTGCATGCCCAGGCTGCAACGAGATCTGTGATTGTTGTATCAGATGGTTTGGTGGAGGTGTGGAGAAGGGGCAATGAGAGCACAAAGGAAGCAGCGCTTAGCTCTGCCAGCTCTAACACCTGCTGGAAAAGGTGATTTGGGAGCTAAGATCCAGCAATTCTGGGTCAGAAAAATAAGAGTGTGGGAAAAGTTTTATCCAATGAGGTGTGCAGGACAGGACTATTTCTCAAGGCAACCTTAATCTGATTCCACCTATCATCCAATTCATCCAGTGCTCCTTGTACTGGTTCTGTGCTTAACAAGGAACCTTCTAATTCTGATTTGCCACCTCCCCCCTTCATTTATTAAATACCTGTTATGTGCCAGGCACTGTTCCAGGTTCTGGGTTCACAGTACTGAACAAGACAGTACACTAAAATCCTTGTGGCAGAGATCATAGTAAGCATACAGATAAGTATATGATATAATGTCACATAGTGATAAGGGCTTTGATACAGATAAAGCAAGGGTGAAGGGGCTGCTATTTAGATATCTATAGGCTTTTGCCCTCATTTTCTTCCCCCATATGGACATCTGGGGAGAGAACATTCCAGGCAAGTTCAAAGGCCCTGAGGTGATACTATGCCTGGCATGTTGGGAAGAAAGCTTACATCGCTAGAGAATAGTAGGGTGTGCGGTTGGAGAGGCAGCTAGAGCCACCATGGGAACTGGGAGCTTCTTCTGGGATGAGAAGTCCTTGGAGGATTTTGAACTGAGAGTTAACATCATCAGATGCATGTTGTAGGTGCAGTGTGGAGGACTGCCCGTGGAGGAACAAAACTAGGAACAAAAGCCCAATCAGGAGACCCTGACAACAGTCTAAGAGAGGTGATAGTGGCATTAACTAGGGTGGTAGCAGTGCAGGTTCTGAGATGTTGTGACACTCAATCTGTATTTTCAAAATCGAGCAGAAAAGATTGGATGTATAGAGAAAGAGGAGAAACAAAGATGATTCCTGAGTTTTTCACTGAGCAACTGAATGAATCGGTGCCTTTCACTATAATGAGAAAAACTGAAGGAAAAGCACATTTTTAGAGGTACATATCAAGAGTTCTGTTTCGACCATGTTAAGGTTGGGGTGCCTATTAGATGTGCAAGTGGAGGTGCTGAGTAGGCGTTTGGGTTAACAAGTCAACAAGTTGAGCATCCAACTCAAGAAGCTATAAAAGAGGGGTGCCTGGGTGACTCAGTCAGTTAAGCGTCTGACTTCAGCTCAGGTCATGATTTCAGGGTCCTGGGATAGAGCCCCACGTCCGTCTGGCTCCCTGCTCAGCAGGGAGTCTGCTTGTCCCTCTGCTCCTCCCCCTGCTCGTGCTTGCTTGCGCGCACTCTCTTGCTCTCTCTCCCTCAAATAAATAAATAAAATCTAAAAAAAAAAAAGCTATAAAAGAAACAGCAGAGTAAACCTGGAGAAAATAGAAGAAAAATAAGGATGAGTAGAAAATGATGAAACAGAAACAAATGATAGGATTGGAACATCAAAAGCTGATTCTTTGAGAAGCTAAAAAACAAAAGCCAGCCCTTTAACAACCTAAATATAAAGAGAGGAAACACAAATTATATTAGAAATGAAAAAGAGATGCAACCATGGTTACAATAGATTATACAATAGTAGATAAAACATAAATTTTTTAAAAGGACATTATAAACAACTGTATGTCAGAAAATTGGAAAACATAAACAAAATGAACAAATTCGTAGAAAAGCACAGCTTACCAAAACTGATCCTAGAAACATAAAAGCTGGATAGACCCTCTATGACCACAAAGAAATTGACTATGTATTTTTTAAAATATTTTGTTTACTTATATGTCAGAGAGAGAGAGAGAGAGCGGGCGCATGAGCAGGGGGAGGGGCAGGCAGAGGGAGAAGCAGGCTCCCCGCTGAGCAAGGAGCCCAATGAGGGACTTGAT